GAGCTTGTGAAGAGCCTGGCACCTCTCCTGTTAACTTAGAGGTGATCAATCTTCATTGGAATCCGACAGACCATCACAGAAAACACACAGCCTGTTTATCTTTATTATTGGGGCTTTGTTACAGTATAGTCTGGAGAAATTCCAATTTGGACTTTAGACCCAAAGATCTACTATTGCATGGGAAAATGTTGAACCAACCAAAGAAAAAAAATGCACCAGTTACTGGATCATTTCTGAGGAACTGGAGTTTGCTTAACAGAATAAAGAGGGTGGAAGTGTGGGGAATAAGAACATGAAGTGTGGATAATTGAAAACAGGGAAGGACAGAACATCCACATTGTATTCTTTCATCAACAAGATTATGGTGCTGTGTAAATTTGAAAAGCAGTCACCCTGTATTGTATATCCTTCCACACTGAAGCTGACAGTATTTTTCTGTTTACATTTGAGGTTATGATGACAGAGAAAATGATCTCTTTCTCTGTGACACCAATACCTGTAAATTTGATGGGGAGTGTTTAAGAATTGGAGACAGCGTGACTTGCGTCTGTCAGTTCAAGGTAAGAAGATTGCTGTTTCATTCTTTAATTCTCTAATGAGAATACAAATCAGAGGTCTCCCTTTACAACCTATCACTTGGCAATTTATTTCTCTACATGCAGTGAAGTTAGAGGGAAAACCTGGCAGCAAGTGTAAAGAGCTGGCAGGAGAGCCAACTGATGTCAAAAAGACATAAGTTTCTCTGGGAAAATGCAGATGCTGCAGTTATAAATGTCCCTTTGGGGTCTTCATCTTCAGGTTGTGTATGTGTGATTTTGTTGATGTGCCCATTTAACAAGTATTTAAAGTTCTTTCCAAATTTACAAAGATACTGATCATGCTTTACACACTCCAGTGTTCTGTTCTAGTTACAGAAATGGCTTTGAAACATGCTTATATGTTTTTTGCAGTAAAGTTGCATAGTGGCAATGCTTTTGATTGTATGCCAGATTAAAAAAAATAGCCCTCCCCACTGTTCCAAAATCACAAACTTCCGTTAGGTGGTAGATAGTTTTTGTGGGCTATTGTTGATTCCCTCGTCCTCTCCCTTCCCCCCACACACAAACACCTTCTTTCTCTCTTTCCTCTCCATTCAGCTAAGTCTAAAGGTCATACTGTTTAATCAGAAAGTATTTCTTCTAGTGTGTTTTGCCTAACTCTGAAAAGAGATGTGCTTTGCGTAATTATCCAGATAAAAATTGTACAAGTTATTGAGTTTTGAGAATGTACCAGGATATGCTAAATATATATACACACACACACACCTTAATGTGCTTTGGTGGCTTTTTGCATTTTAATGCAACTTTATTAAGATGTAAAACTTTTATAACCATTAAAATAGTTACAGTACAACAGACTGAATGGTTCAGTATTGTACTCATCTGTAATGACTGATTTTAATTCATTACTGAGCATTTTGATAGACTACTTACTCTGAAGCATGCCAAGTATTATTTTTATTACCAGAGGCAAAAATATCATATCTGAGGAGGAAAAAATTAAAAAGTCGCAATATCAAAAATGAAATAATATCTCACCAACAATTGCTTTACTAAAGTTATGGTATTTAACATTAAATGATTGCATTTTCTCATTGACAGAAATAATACGTATATATCCTGTACCTTTTATTAAATTTCCAGTTTACATATGGTCACACATTTCATATTTAAAATAAATGTTAATGTAGAGAGTTGTGTGGTGCAACATCAGCATTTGTAACATGTTTAGTTATTTAGACATTTTCTTTCCTCAGGAAACCCTATAATGCAATCAACATTTGTGACTTGTGCTGTTGCCTGGTGCTAATACCTGTGCTGTGCCACTGACATTTAAGTTATACAGTGTCCATCGAGAACACTATGCTATTGTGTTTCGTCACAATTTAGCGTTGGCACTTGGTTTAAAAGCAATGTACCACTTGGGAGAAGCAAACCAAGACTTCGCTAATGGAAGGGAATACAGTGGAGGCTATGTTTTCCCAAGGAATCATGCCAGTCTTTGGTGACTTAGAATAAAGAAACCTTAGTAAAATTCAGTAGGATGCATTCTCTTGGATTTAGTAGATCAGTAATATCTATACTGATGCTTGAAAAACATATGAAAGAGGACAGTTGAAATATATTGGAGAAATGAGATACAGATTTGCCAGGTTTTATCATCTGGTAATGTTTATAATCTTACATGGCATGAGAGTAAAGTGACCAAGTGATTGTGGGCCTCATTGAAAGTTTTCTGAAGTCAGTGGGAAACTCTCTGTTAGCTTCAGTAGATTTTGGATCAGATCCCTTATGAATTGAGAGCTCTGACTTTTTGTTTTGGCCATTCATGGAGTCACATCTTTGAATGTGAGCTTGTAATGCAAGCTATCTATGCGTGCTGCTATTCAGACAATGCCAACACTTGTGTAGCTGATGCTCTCGGTTTGGTAGAGTCAAAGTAATTCTTGTGCTTCTGAAAATCCCGTGTGTTACTAGAGTTAAAGTAGGGAGTAACTTGGCTCATCATGCAGCTCAGGGCAGTTTGGTAGGCATGAAAAATATGCCACTGTAGGAGAGAATGATTTCTAATGCAGTATCAGGGACTGACTGAGTACTGCATTAAGTGTCTTTTGGGGTGTATGGAATACAGACACAAAACCATAGGGCTCAAGTGAGGGAGTTTGCTCAGTCAGAATTCAGACGCACTTTCCATGCACACTTGTTTACAGTGACAATGGACAAATCAACAAAAGAGTGCTCATCAGTTTAATCATGTTTTATGTTTTCTCTGGTACTTGCTAGGGGCTTTTACTGCAGTTGGAAAGCAAAGATGTGGGTTGTTATTATGCTACTGAAAATTTCTGGTTGGCCACTCTTGTATCTGTTTTTTATAACACTGGTTCAAACAGTGTCCAATAAATTGATTTAACATAATAAACATTTGTTGCTTGAAAGGCAAATTAAAACCAGACTGTTTTGGATTACTTGGGTGTGGTTCTGTCCCCAAGCAGAAGATAAATGGCCAGGGTTTTCCCCCTAATTGAGTCATTTTTGCTTTTTTAACACTACAGAAATATAGATCACCCATTGATTTCACCTGGTGGGGGACTTGTATTCATGTGAGTATCCTCCCCACATCTGTTTCAATAGGAGCAGAAATTCATTTATTCTTGTGTTAGAGCACACCCTATGTGTTCATTGGGTATTAATGTATCAGACCATTAATCATTCCCTCTCATAGGACCACATTGTTAGCTATAGGAAATAAGATGAAGCATTCAGAATTAACAAATATTTTATGATGTCATAATTTGAACTAGACTGCCTTAGCCCCTATTCTTTTCCCTCTGTGATAACACAAAAATGTCTTAATAGGTAGTTAGGTATTTCAGTTGGTGCTGGGTTTGTTTCTCGACAGTTAGATCCTGATCTTGAAAACATTTACACACACAAATAACTTTTCTTATGAGAGTAGCTGAATTTTCTTCAGTGGGGCTCCTCACATATGCTTGTGTGTTTTCAGGATCGGGACCTTAGTTACAGAGTTGTGAGTTGTGTATTATTGAAATGCATTTTCATATTACTTTGCTTGCTAAAAATGTGTGAAGAGTGGTGACAGTATTAATCAAATCATGCTTTTGAGAGTAAGAAGTAATCAGTTTTGTAGTGCTAACATGAGCAGGATTTACACAAGTATGTCAGCTTCTCTGGAAAATAAACTTGTGCTAAAGAAACTTCATAAACTCTGTGAAGCCAAAATGTTCCTGTGCCTATGATCATAAGTATACAAATTTCCAAATGCTATGAAAGGTAGTCAGTAACCAGTGCATGGCTAAATTAGGGCATGCTTATTGTTCTTCCTTGCTTGGGTTAAGCAAATATATGTTAAAAGTACAGAAGTGAGTGGGAGCATTCCACAATATGGAAGTTTGCCATTTTCGCTAATGGGAGTTTTGACATGATCTGGCCCTTGCTGAAACTCCTCCCAAGGTCTAAGACTTGGTGTACTTAGTCCTGAGCCAATGCCCAGAATGTACTGATGGATTGAAGGAATGGTGATAGTCAAAATCCAGTATCCCAGCAACCTCTAGGATCAGAAAGAAACACTTCATGTACCAATAGAAAGCTGTGAATGCCAGTTTTCCATTGTTATAAAGTATCAGAATCCAGCTCTGGTAGATTATGATATTCTGACAATCATGTTGGGTTTTTTTCCCCCACTTTATTTGCGATTATTTTTATCCTGCTCTTCAATGTCACTGGAGCTCAGGACCCTAGTTAGCACCCTCTGAAAGCTTCACGTGCCCACGTTATCTGTTGCTGAGCAGCAGCTTTATTTTTTTTATCTTTGTCGGTGTATCAAAATGTATAGATAATGGGATAAAGAATGGATAATAGAGGCATAGAAGCATCCGCCATAGAACACAATAGTCTCTCAAATACCTTGTGAAGTTCTACTAAATGCACAGAATTTGGGGTGAAATCCTGTCCCCAACATTTTAGTCAATCAGAGTTTTGCCATTGACTTCAGTGCTCCAGGATTTCAACCTTGACACCTTTTCACTTGTTACACCAAACCTTGCTCATTTTATGCACATGAATAGCCACATCTCAGGTAATGAGGTTACTCACATAGGTAAGGAAAATAGGACTTGTTTTGAAGCTAGTTGGCATAAACATTATGGCTGTGTCTACACTGGGCCACTTATTCTGGAAAATCACCCGCTTTTCCGGAATAAGCTGCGAGCTGACTACACTGGCCCCTTGAATTTCCGGAAAAGCACTGACGATCTACTGTAAGAAATCAGCTGCTTTTCCGGAAAAACTATGCTGCTCCCACTCGGGCAAAAGTCCTTTTTCCAGAAAACTGTTCCGGAAAAGGGCCAGTGTAGACAGCACAGTAGTCTTTTCCGCAAATAGCCCCGATCGCGAAAATGGCGATCGGGGCTTTTTTCTGGAAAAGCGCGTCTACATTGGCCACGGACGCTTTTCCGGAAAAAGGGCTTTTCCGGAAAAGCATCCTGCCAATGTAGACGCTCTTTTTCCAGAAATACTTATAATGGAAAACTGTTCCGTTTTAAGCATTTCCGGAAAATCATGCCAGTGTAGACGTAGCCTATGGGTAAACCCTGCTCTGACTGAAACTAATGGGAAATTTGCAACTGCTTTCCATGAAGCAGGATCAAAGTTTGTGTTTGTATTTATAGTGGTGAATGTTAGATTATTCTGGACCAACTACTGAACATCCTGTTCACATAACCATAAATAGTCCCTGTGGTGTCACTGGAACTGTATGTGTAAAATAATTAAGACTTAGTCCTTCATGCTTTAAAAAAAATTCATTTGTTTATGTTAATTGTCTTGATAAACTATTCCAAATCACCCTTCAGCTCTGTCTAAATCACTCTTTAGCTTCTGCATGAATTCTGACACTTCTGTATTTGACACAGGTCAGATTTAGAATGCATTCCTCAAAATGGCAAACCAGAACATTGTAATCAATAGTTTTAAATCTGTGAATTGATGAGCTGAAACCTAAAAGAAGAAAGCATTGGCTGGTATGTTTAGGAAACATAGCAGGACTGGGAGTTTTAAGAAAATATAATACAGAGGGAAATGTCACTTCTCTTGAATCAGCCCAAATGTCTCTCTGACCAAGTATGAATAATTTCCTGGCTAGATCCCTGTGTGGAGGCCTACAATTAATTCAACTCACACAACTGTATGCGTTAATCATTTCTGTATCCATTTGTATCTAGGCAGATTTCAAATTCATATTGACATCAGTTTCATACTGGATATCAAGTGTATTAGCACAACATAAAACACTTCATGGCATAAGATAGCTAAATTGATAGTGTGACTTTTTAATTTTTATGTGGTTTTTAAACAGAGGTGATCATTTGTAAATAATAATCTTGATCATTACTTTTGTTATAATTAAACAATGAGGCATATCAGGAGTATAGTAATCATGAGATAATCATATCCCCGGCATAATTATCAGGTACAGGGCACATCCAAGTATCTTTAATACCTCAGAGTGTGATTATCTTATGATAACTACACCCTGTAGGTTGCCTAATTTCCATTATAAAATGGAATTATTTTTATTAAAATGAAAAAGCAGGGGTAAAAAAAACGTGTTCTTTTGGTAATGGAGAAAAATAAAACTGATAGTTGACAATACTGAGCAGAATTTTCAGATGAGCTGATAACATGTATATTATTCAGTCTCTCTGATCTTTAGCATTTTTTATGACATGCTTTGCAGTTCTGGTCCTGATGCCTTCAACATGCAAAGGAGAACTCTGAACTCAAGGAAATGCTGTAACGAAAGCTTTTTGAAAATTTTCAAATGTCAACATTTTTAATGAAAAATAGGACGTGTCTTTGGTGATTATTTTCATTAAAAAATCCATGATGATTGTTTCCCAATCAATGTTAATTATGAGACAACTCGTGCCTATTATCTTCCAATGGAGTGGGAGTGCATGCATTGCCATACCGCAGCAGGCCAGTAGTACATCTTGTCTAGCATTTTGTCTTTGAATAGCCAGCACCAATTACTTTAAAGATATATGAAAGTCCATAGTGGACAGTTATAAAATAACTAGACCATATGGGAAGTTTCTTCCTCACACCTGTCAATTAGAAGTCAAGTTGTGCTCTGAAGCATGACTGTTTATATCCCTTCAGGTTTTCTCCTGTAGTCCTACTAATAATGATAGATTTATAAAGAGTAAGCAAGGATCAGGCAGTTTCTAATCTCCTGTTGTTTTCATGGTGTTTTATTTTTTTGAGGGGGGTGGGGAATGGATTGGCATGGCACCATTTGGTGGTTGTTACTAATTACATTCTTTCCTTTTCTGCATTCATTAGTGTAACAGCGACTATGTGCCAGTGTGTGGCTCCAATGGCGATACCTATCAAAACGAATGCTACTTGAGACAGGCTGCCTGCAAGCAGCAGAGTGAAATACTTGTGGTGTCTGAAGGATCATGTGCAACGGGTATGTATAATGCTCTGTTTGTAGAGAACTTTGCTGGAAACCAGATAAAATAGCTTGCATATCATGATAAGGATTCCAGGCATATTAACTCCAGATGAATAATTTACCATACAGACCTAAGCAGCTACTGCATCCATCCATTCTTTTTTTTTTTTTTTTTTAAGATTCTGTATGTTGCTTTAAGGAACAGGGCATAGAATACTATTTCTGTTTTAATATCAGTGGAGTAGCCAGCATGGAATATTTGTGTGGCTCTACCTTCTAGTTGGCAGGCAATTACGGGGGAGAGAGGGAGTTGAGAGGACAGGAGGGATGGGAAGCCAGCCTCTTCCCACCCCCTGCAGCTCACCTGGCTGGGGGTGATGGATGGACCTTCTGATCATGGGCTCTCTGGGGCCCTGGGCATGCACTTAGCTCTAGGAGGAGATACTGCTCTCCGGCACACGTGGCTCCTCGCTCCCTTCCAGGTCCCATTGCCCCGCACCAGGCCTAGCTCCCCCGTGCTGAGTACCTACCTTTTCTGAAGATATCCTCTACCGCTTCCAGCCACCTACTCACTCACTCTCCTCTCAGTGGCAGATTAGCCACTGGGCCAACCTGGGACCCTGGAAAAATGGGTGCACCTGCTCTGCCCTTCTGGCACTCCCGTGACGGGGATGGAAGGCTTGCTCCACTGCACATGCCCCACAAGTGCTTCAGGGAGGTGAGGGGCTGAAATGTGGGGACTTACCCCCTCCACCTGCCCAGCCCTGGCAGGAGTGCCAAGCAGGCAGGCAGAGCAGAGCAAGTCTCTGTATCCTGTCCCTGCTCCACCAGAAGCACAGGCAGGTGGAGCCAGGCAAGTGGTGGGGCCAGAGCAGAGCTGGGGCTAGTGAGCGGGCCTGGATGTGAAGTGTATGGGTATGCCCCTGTTGCATTCTGCCATGTACAGTGCATTTCATAGAGTTGTATAATGTGTCTACAAGTAACTGGAAATAGAGATTAAACCGGCAGATCAGAGACCTAAATGCTTTGTTTGTGTCCATGGCACACTGTAATCTGGAGGAGCTAGCATATCAGTGTTACTGCATATGGTAACTCTTCTGTATTTTGTCATAAATGTAGGACTAGATCCGCAGATGGTATAAACCAGCAGAGCTTCTGTGCAGGGCCGGATTAAGGCATGGTGCCCCTTACTGCTGCCATCAGGTGCCGCGCACCCGGTTCCTGGATCACGGGCTGCAGCAGCTCCCAGCGGCCACCCTGTAGCGGCCGCCCGAAACGGGGGCCACGTTAATCCCAGCAGAACTAGCCAGCAGCGTCCTTTCCCCCGTGGCCGCGGGGCCTTGCACGGCCAACCTTGGCCCGCCCCGGGCGGTCCCGGGCTGCGCGCCAGCAGCAGTAGCCATACTGGGCCGGGCCAGGCATGTGCGTCCTGCCGCCACCAGCTCCGCTCGCCCTCTCCCACGTGCCGGCACGGGGGCGGGGCCGCGCATGCGCCCTTCCCCAACCCAGGACGCAATTAAACTGTCTGCCCGGGGCGCCGGAATGGCTCGGTCTGGCCCTGCTTCTGTGACTGCCATGGAACTATACTGATCTATACTGGATAAGGTTCTGGCCCTTAACTTTAAGTTAAGTTAGTGAAATTGTGGAATGGTCTCTGTACTACTTGGAGGAATTTGTTGAAGAACATGCGGTAATGAGTATTATTTCTTTAGGCCCCTTTCCTTAATCTGGGAGCTGTGAAATACTCATAGCCCTCCTATATGAATTATACAGAAAGATGAATGAGCATAATCTGACAGGAAAACTGACTTGCTCTTTGCCGGAGTTCCCAATGTTTTCCTTTTGTGTTCTGTACTCATTAGAGGTGGGCAATGAAATGAACTTGAAAAGAAGCAAGCTTTTGTCCTTGAGGGAACTCTTTAAATATAAAGCAGAACTTTTCAGATTGGGATAGAAGAGTCAGTAAAAAGTGCATTAGAAAAAATATTATGCACAGCAGCAATCTGTATGTCTTGCACTTAAGAGAAATGTTTCTTTCTGTAAATTATGCTTTATCTGAAACTGTTACCTAAGGCTGTGTCCAGACTCAGGGGTTTTTTCAAAAAAAGTAGCCTTTTTTCGAAAAAACTTCACCTGCGTCCAGACTCAAGCCGCGTTCTTTCGAAATTAAATCGAAAGAACGCGGCTTTTCTTTCGATGGCGGTAAACCTAATTCTACGAGGAAGAATGCCTTCTTTCGAAAGTTCCTCTTTCGAAAGAAGGCGTTCTTGAATGTAAATAGGGCTTCCTCGAAAGAGAGCATCCAGACTCGCTGGTTGCTTTCTTTCGAAAAAGCAAGCCGCTTTTTCGAAAGTTCCGCGTGTAGTCTAGACGCGCTCTTTCGAAAGAGGCTTGCAGTCTAGACATAGCCTAAGAGTTTTCAAAGGGAAAAAGATATTCTGTGATGTTCTTTGTCTAGAAATTGGTGTTATCTTGAGTTCTGTCAGGAAGAGTCAATTTTGGCAGAAGAGTTTCTTTTAGGACAGATATTGGGGGGTTTTTTTTCATTAAAAAGTTTAATAGTCTAATTCCGCTTTCTTGCTGCATCATTTCTTAAGATTTCCCATTATTTCTTGTACTTATTTTGGAGATACCTTTGTCAGTCCCCGTAGTACCTTCTCCAGTGTTAAAGATACTCAGGGAGGAAAGAAAACTAGGAATCCTGATGTCTTGAATATTTGATTGCTTTTTCTCTCCTCCCGAAGGCAGAGTTTATGAACCTGATCTATTGCCCACTGATGTCAATGAGAATCTTTCTATTCACTTTGTGGGGCTTTAGATCAGATTTTATCTGAGAGTGCGCTTTGCTTTTGGTGGGGCTGCTGGAGAATTAATGGATCTCTCTGTAGATGGCAGTCGAGAGAGCAGAATGTTGACAACAAGAATACCCCTGTTCCATCATGCTGAGAGGAGAGTGCTAAATCAACTGATCTGCAGGTTTGGAATCTGCTGGATTCCCCTCAGAGGATGGCATGAGAGGGAGTAATACAATCCCATCTTACATGGGAGGGTATATCACTGAAAACACCTGGTGAATAAAGAAAGGATGGTGAGAAAAAAAATCCTCAAGAATGGCTAGATGGAGTCTGGATATGAGTGTGTGGAAGGAGAAGGAGAAAATATGAAGCTTCTTTCCTCCAAACAGCTGGGAATTGTACAGCGTACCTAAAGGAAAGAAAGGCTTGTGTTTGTTTCTTCCCAGCTGCAGGACATGAGAGGTGGTGGGCAGTCCCTGCTTTCCAGGCATCACTATGGCTGTGTTGCAGGTTACTGCAACAAATTTGTATCCTTTTTGGATTCCTTTGGGAGTTCAGAGAACTAGGGCCGTAGCCAGACTCAGGGGGTTTTTCGGGAAAAGTAGCCTTTTTCCGAAAAAACTTCCCCTGCGTCCAGACTCAAGCCGCGTTCTTTCGAAATTAAATCGAAAGAACGCGGCTTTTCTTTCGATGGCGGTAAACCTCATTTCACGAGGAAGAACGCCTTCTTTCGAAAGTTCCTCTTTCGAAAGAAGGCGTTCTTCAATGTAAATAGGGCTTCTTCGAAAGAGAGCATCCAGACTCACTGGATGCTTTCTTTCGAAAAAGCAAGCCGCTTTTTCGAAAGTTCAACGTGCAGTCTAGACGCTCTCTTTCGAAAGAGGCTTGCAGTCTAGACATAGCCTATTTGTGTTAGACTACAGAGACCTTCCTCTCACCAAGCAGCTGGCCTGGAGATGGTGTGTGGTGGGGAGTAGTTTGGAGAACCAGATTAGGAATATGGGTGTTTCACAGAGGAGAGCACTATCAGATTTTATTCCATTTTCTAAGCATTCCTTGCCCCCGCTGTTCATGATCATATGGTGAAAAAAGCCCACCGTTTCAAGATTTAGCCAGCTAGAAAACCAGCACAACTGAGTAATGTGGCTCATCTGTTTATTTAGCTAGCTGCAAGGTTTAATTGGTAACCCACTGCTGTGGCCAAAAAAAAAAGTCTTGCTAATCTGAAGATTTTTTTTTTATCTGAGTAATGACTGAATGTACAAACCAACTTAGATTAACAAGATCTGACCATAAATAAATTGGGCTTCAACTCTTGATATACAAACAGAATCACAATCTTGTCTTTGCAAGCTCTCCATTTGCTCTCTCTTTCTAGCTGCCTTTGACACTGAGCAGTGTTTGCTAGTTGAGCTTGCCAGTAAAAAGAAACTCTTGACAATGCAACTTTCTTTTTTGCTTTCATCAGTGCCTTTATTATATTAAACTGCTGAAAATGGAGACAGAATTTAGATTTTCTTTCAGCCAGAAGCCTCTCCATTTGTGTGCATTTTTGCACATTGATTTGTTAAGAATGCTTCTTAATGAAGTTCTTTGCTTGACAATTTCATGTGGCTGCTCTTCCTAAAACTGGAAACATGAACAGTATAGCTAAATTTCTTCAGGCTACGATGAAGGATTTAAAGACAAAGCACTTCATATAGCAAGCAAGTAACCATTATGAGATTCTATAATTCTGACCTTTCCTTTAAAAAATTAAACTAATTATTTCCACTTACAATGTTAATCTGAAAATGTGGGGGAGCGAGAAAAGGAAGATTAGCCATTTTATAAAAAAGGGTTTGCTTGCTAGGTATTCACTATAAATATTTCCTTTCTTTATTGCATAGGCATTCTATTTATGGTAGGAATATTGAGTCAGTGTTTGTCATCAAACATTTTGGATATTCTTACATATATGAAGCTCTTAAATATTAATGACTATATGTGACATTCATTTCTATACGTTCCAAAAGCTAATGAAAAATATTTTTCTTAAATATGATATGTGTAAGGGGGGAAATGGAAGTGCACATAAAGTAACTTTGAAAAACTATTAATCACAAAGCTCTTGAAGATAGTTTATCATTCTCAGCAAATGAAACAGACGCTTAGGAGAACATTACAGCACTCCTGTGCTTTGGCTTTTTCTGTCTTTTATGAAGGCTTTTTAAAAGAAAATTCAGGCATCAGAAAGCTGGCTTGAGAGAATCATGTAAAGATTAGATCTCTGTAATTTACTCAGAGACAACATTAAACATAAAATACACCATGATACATTTAACCGAGCAGTGTTGCCTTATATATTCATAGTTTAGATTGCCGCATCTAACTATAAATTTCATTGTGTTCTCTCTTCAGATGCAGGCTCAGGATCTGGGGATGGAGGTAAGAAACTTCTTATAATATTATTCTGCCACAAGGTCTTTCTCCTTTCCATAGTGTAAGTGATGTGCTTTTGCAGTTTTGCTGTAACACTATGTATTGCCTTTCATTTAGGTTTTTCTGAAGTGACATTTTGCATTTTAGTCAAGCTGAATTCTGATGAAGACATGCCGTTTTCTAGGGAAATTCAGCAACCATATTACTTCTGAGAGGATTTTGTATTATTTATGAGTTGTACTGGCACTCTATCTCCATCTGCTGTTTCTAGCACACTCATTTGTTCTAAGTTTAAAATAATATTTCTCCTGTTTTTAAAACACAAACCAAACCCCTTGTGTTGTCAGTCTTCCCACTGAAGGATTCAAACCAAATAATGTGCCGTACCAGAGAGCATTCTTGTAGTAGTTTATTAAGAGAAAATGTCATTTGTAGGAAAATGAAGATGTGGCTTTAATAGAAAACAAAACAAAACAAAACAATGAACTCTAGTTACTTAAGACAGACAGTGTCTTTAATTCAGATTTTTTTTTAAATAAATTGTGTATGGTGATTTGTTAGTTAAACATTTTGAGTTAGATCACAGGTCTTGAACACAGTCATTGTAAGCAAGAGGCAGCGCATAGCTGCAAAGGAGGCTCTGGGACGCATTTTGCCCAAGGGGATTTTTTGCGTCACAATCAAAGGTGTGACTGCAACACATGTTGACATATCCACACTAGCTTTGATCTCTCAGGTTCAACGGTAGTGGGGCTAGTGCAACCAATGAAGTAGTAAGACTCTGCAAGCCTGACCTAGATTCTGGGTAGATACTCCAATGACTGGACCAGACTGTCATAGCTTTGCTGCTATTATTCTTTGAGCTAGCTAGATCAAAGCTAGTCCACGTGTGCCTTTGGGTGCTGTACTCCTACCTTGGATTACAGTGTAAACATGCCTACAGAGAAAAGGACAATGCCTCCCAAGCTCCCTGGCTGTGGTAGGGCAGGGAGGTAAGTTTTCTGAGTACAGGATCATGACTTGACCGGATTGTGACTACTCAGACCTCAGCCTCATTGGCTGGTCCATAGAAAAGTGGGGCCATGGATTTGTCTCTAAGGGAGCATAAGGTGCAAAATCCTTTTATTCCCACCCAACTGCCAGCCACTTCAGGATCTAGAGCAAATATCTGAATAGGCTTTGTGTAAGCATGCAAGGAGAGAAAACAATTGCTCCCCTTCATTTCATTTCCCTGCATAGTCACCCTGGGGCTAGCCAGAAATTCTCCCTAAAACAGTCCCCTGTAGTGTTGGAAATCTTACCCTGTACTTGTGCTAGTACAGGGGCTGTAACAGAGTGGCTTGCCCCTTACGTCTGGTGGCCTGGGTTCAACCAACTTTGTTTCCTAAAAGAACTCCCTGTGCTGTATTAACAGCCTTGATGGGGCCTAGTGGTCAGCTGATTCCCTACAGAGGGTAGCAAGAAGCTGTTAAAAGCCCAGGAAGCTGTGGCAGAGAATAAGGAAAAGCTCTTGTAGGAAATATCCTGGAACCAGGGGAGTTGCTTCAGTGAGGAGTTGAGGTTCTCTGTAAGGCAGGAGTATCACACTGGCACCAGGGTATTAACTTGAGTTCCAGCCTGGAAAAACGTGGGAGTGACGGTTGTACTGGGACCCTGCTCCAAGAAGGAGGACTGGGGACTTCTTATCTAAGAAAAGAGAGATACTAAGTGTGGGGTGGGGGCCTGAAGGGCCAGACTGTGTCAAGACTAGGGTTGCTGATTAATCGCAGTTAACTCAAAAAAATTGATGTCAATTAAAAACATGATTAATCACAGTTTTAATCTTACCATTAAATAATAGAATACCAATTGAAATTGACTAAAGGGTTTGGGGTGTTTTTTGACATGTTGGTTTAAATTACAACACAGAATACAAGGTGTACAGTGCTCATTTTATATTATTATTTTATTACAAATATTTGCCCTCTAAAATGATAAAATAAATAGTCTCTTTCAATATACCTCAAGTCTATAGTGCAATCCCTTTATGTGAAAGTAAAACTCACAAATATAGATTTTTTTGTTATGTAGCTGCACTCAAAAACAAAACAATGTCTACAAGTCCACTCAGTCCTTTTTCTTGTTCAGCCAATTGCTAAGACAAACAAGCTTGTTTACATTTAGGTTATGTGTACACTACCAATAAGTTATTTTGAAATAATAACTCCTGAAATAACTATTTTGAAACAAGCCTATTCATCTTCACAAGCAGGAGTTATTATTTTGAAATAACAGGCTTGGTAGTGTGGATGCTCACCTTGTTATTTCGAAATAACTCCCCAGTGTAGACATGCTCTTACAGTACTACTACCCACTTCTTGCTTACAGTGTAACCTGAAAGTCTGAACAGGCATTTTCATGTCACTCTTGTAGCGGGCATTGCAAAGAATTTACATACCACATATGCTAAACGTTCATATGCCTCTTCATGCTTCAGACACTGTTCCAGAGACCGTGTGTCCATCCTGATGATGCTCATTAAAAAAAAGAATGCATTAATTATACTTGCAACTAAACTCCCTGTGGGAGAATTGTATATCTCCTGCTCTGTTTTAACCACATTTTGCCATATATTTCATGTTATAGCAATCTCACATGATGACCCAGAACATGTTCATTTTAAGAACACTTTAATGAAGATTTGACAAAACACAAAAAGGTGCCAATGTGAGAGTCTAATGATAGCTACAGCACTCAACCCATCTTACTCAGATTATGAAAATGAACATTCATCAGTCCACATTGCTTTGGATCATTATTAAATAGAATCTTAGAATACTAGAACTGGAAGGGACCTTGAGCGGTCATGGAGCCAGTCCCCTGCCCTCACGGTAGGACCAAGCACCATCTAGATCATCCCTGATAGATGTTTATCTATCCTGCTCTCAAATATCTCCAGTGATGAAGACTCTACAAACTCCCTAGACAACTTATTTCACTGTTTAACCATCCTGGCAGTGGATGCATGTCCTCTGGAATGTTGGTTGAAGCACAAAGGGACATATGAAATTTTAGCATATCTGGCACATAAATACCTTGCAACACTGGCTTCAGCAATGCCATGTAAACACTTGTTCTCACCCTTTCAGGTGACATTGTAAACAAGAAACAGGTAGTATTAGCTCCTGCAAATGTAAACCAACTTGATTGTCTGAGCAATTGGCAGAACAAGAAGTAGGACTGAGTGGGAGTATAGGCTCTGAAGTTTTACATTGTTATATTTTTTGAATGCAGTTATTTTTGTTCGTAATTCTACATTTGTTAAGCTCAACTTTCATGATAAAGAGATTGCACTATAATACCTGTATTAGGTGAATTGAAAAATATTATTTCTTTGTTTTTTTACAGTACATATATTTGCCATCAAAAATAAATTTGAAGCAAACACTATACACTTTGCATTGTGTGTTGTAATCAAAATCAATATATTTAAAAATGAAGAAAACATCCAAAATATGTAAATAAATGCTATTCTGGAATTGTTTAACAATGTGATTAGTCACATGATTAATTTAACTGCTTCACAGCCCTAGTTGGGATTAAATCCAATGAACTCTAGAGGGAAATGTTTTGTACCTTTGGATGTGTGACGTGCAGCTTTTAAGGGGCTCCAAAGAGTGACCTCTGCTCTTGAAGGAGCTGCCCCATTACAGGAATCTAAATTTTACAGGAAATGGATCACGACTTAATAATGAGATGGTCTCATGGACCAACCAGGCTTCATTCATGACTGTAGAGATGTTACTTGATGGGATTTAGCTGCCTCTTATGTAATTTATCAAATGGCTTATGAGGAGGTGAGCTAACATTCATCTCTTTGTGATTTACCAATCTAATTATGTTATCTATTCCATGTGAAATACGAAGTGGGACATCTCAGGCAAAAATAAGCTAGAGGCCCCCCATTGATTTCAGTAGGGCTAGGATTTCACCCTAAATAATTTTAATAATAATGCTCTGAACTTTCAGGTTTTGATTCTTTTTCACCACCAGTTTTATACTGTAACTTCGTTGACTTCAGTGAACTTACATTGATGCAAATCAGGGATAAGTAAGATAGAAACAGACCCTTACACTTCTTTTCATTCAGAGATGCTTATGTAAACAGTAGATAAGACTTATAGACTCATAGACTTTAAGGTCAGAAGGGACCATCATGATTATCTAGTCTGACGAATCTCACCCACCCCCTCCTAAATATTGAAGCCTTCAAATACTTTGAAGACCCCAAGATGCAGAGAACCCTCCAGCTGTGATCTGTACCCCATGCTAGAGAGGAAGGCGAGACACCTCCAGGGCCTCTGCCAATCTACCTTGGAGGAAAATTCCTTCCCGACCCCAAATATGGCGATTAGCTAAACCCTGAGCCCGTGGGCAAGACTCACCAGCCAGACACCCAGAAAGTTCTCTATAGTAACTCCTATCATCCCTCCATTGACCTATTTACCTCTGATAATGAATGGTCAATTAGTTATCAAGATCATGTTATCTCATCAAACCATCCCCTTCATAAACCCATGCCATTGGCATGTTATTGCTCCTACAGTGTGAAATGTATTCTATAACTACAGAAAGCCAAATGAGCCATGGAGGCAAATAGTGTAGCTGAAGTCGACATATTCACCATGGCATCTTGCATGCAGTAAGGTCTTTGGGGTCTGCTCTCTTGTACAAACCACCTACACTTCTCATCTTGATAGAGTATCAGGATCAACAGGAGTACTCTTGACTATCTGGTTATTATGCGTACAGTTGGTGCAATATAGCGACTGCTAGTGGATCGATGGCTGCAGCGTCAATCTACCGCATAGCGGAGACAAGGCCTTAGAGTGAATTCATTAATTTTTTCTTAACCATTGATTGACAAATCACAAGTAAATGGGCACTTTTTTTACTGTTGTCTTAAGTTCTCTTCTTCCATTATCCACCTGCTGGGGGGGAAGGAGGGAGGAGGGATCTGAATTTTT